AAAATATCTCTGAAAAATATGAACAAATTATCAATCCTGATATCAAAATGAGATTTATTTCAAAAGTGTGGATTCGTTTGAATACAATTTATATAGTTAAGTCGAAATTTACAATCGATGTTTAAGAGAGTAGGTCATAAACTTAAGAAATGCAAGAAATGCGATATAACGAGAAATAAGATAGATAGATAGATAGATATCTGAAGAAGGGAATTTAGTAGCATAGATAAAGAGATCTGAAGAAAGGAATTTAGTAGGATAGATAGAATTTGAAGAAGACAAATTTCATGGATAATAGATAGATCTGAAGAAAGGAACTTATTAGGACAGGTAGAGGTAAAGGAAGGAGTTTAGTAGTTTAGATAGATAGATAGATAGATAGATAGATAGATAGATAGATAGATAGATAGATAGATAGATAGATAGATTAGGAAAAAAGAGAGCAATCATTACAGTTTTGGAATAGGCATTGCTACAGGAATTCATCTTTGTTAATATTACTCTAGATTAAGAACGCCAAATAAAAAATATATGAACAAATCATGAAAAAAGTTGGTTGATTATTCAATGTAAATTCATTGTAACTTGATACCCTACGAAAACCAAAACTGAATATGCTGATATACCGCGAATGCTTAAATGCAAAATTAGATAGATATGAAATATGATAGATAGATCTGTAAAATGATAGAGAAATCTGAAAAAAGATAGATAGATTTGAAATTGTTCGCTCGATATATTGAAAACTATGGACAGACAGAGATAGAAATTAACTAGAAATTTAAATTGATTTGGAATCTATTGAAATTCAATCAGAAAAGAATTTACTTAGAACAAAAACAATGGAAATACAATGATAAATGTTAAACCAAAACTAATTGAAAAATGCAAACTTAATTGAAAATTAATGAAAAAAAATTAAAAAAAGATACGAAGGATAAAGACAAACAAGAAAAAAAGAAAGATAGGAGAAAAGAAAGAGAATGTAAGTTATAAAGTAAAACGAAATTGAAAAGAAATAAAGGAAAATGAAATAAATTGAGAATGGAATTAAGGACGAAGGAAAGACAGAAGGAAACGAAGAAAGATAGGAAAAAAATGGAAGTAGGGAAAAAGGGAAAAAAGATATAGAAAGAAAAAAAAGATGAAAAGGGCGTTGGAAAGTAAAAAAAAAAGGAAGGAAAATGGAAGTAAAAATTAAAGTAAGAATGAAATAATGAATTAATGGAAGAAATTACAAAAAATGAGAGAAGCAAAGGAAATAAGTTAGGCAAAGGGAATCATTAGGAAGAAAATAATGAAGAAGAAAATATTAGGAAAAATAGAAAAAGGGAACAGGCGAAGGAAGTAGGAAAGGAAAATATGAAAATGGAAGAATGAAAGCAAAAAATGAAGGAGAACGGAAAGAAAAACAGAAATAAAAGTAAGAAGAAAAAGAACAAACAAAATGAAGGAAAATGGAAGTAAATCAGGAAAGAAAGAAAAATCAAATAAAAAAATGAAGAAAAAAGAAAAAACAGAAATAAAGAAAAGAACAAAGAATGGAAGAAAAAATACAAAAGCAGAAAGAAAGAAAAAAGAAATAAAACATAAAGGAAGAATTAAATGAGAGAGAAAATAAGAAATGAAAAAAGAAAGTAAGAAGGAAAATGAGGACTAAAGGGAGGATGACAGAAAGAAAGCTAGAACGAAATGAAGACAAAGAAGGAAAATTTATAAATACGAGGGAAAGAAAAAAGAGCAGCGAATTACATAAAAAAGCAGGACTGAAACAAATTTAATTAAACAAAAAGTTACTTTAAAGAAACAACAGAAAAATTGTGATTGAAAGTGTGAAATTCGAAAATGCTGCATTGGAACTGAAAATAAGAAAATTACGTAACCGAAAGATAATTTGAAAAATTAAATAAACAATGAAGAATAAAAAAGAGGCTTTTTTATTTAAAGAAAGAGGCTTTTTATTTCCTATGTTTAAATCAGAGAAAACTTGAAAAAAATAAAAGATAGAATAAAATATTTTTAAGCAAAATAAAAATTAAACGGAAAAAAATTATTTCCTGAAGTAAATTTCACTTTTCTAGTCGTGCCTTCAGTTGGCTTTTTTCTCCTTTGTCATCTTTCTTTATTCTTTTTTGCAAATACTGTAAAATGAAATACTAATAATCTCAAAGAAGTGAAAACTGTCAAAATGAAATGTCAAAAATGTCTCTTTTGTTGCCCTGTATCAAAAGATACCATGAATCAAATGTCTTAAAGAAATATTTCGCTTTTTACTGAATTATTTTTAATCACCATTATTGGTCCCTGACATGAATTCAAACTATTTTAACCATTAACAGTATCGACATGAATCACAATAATAATAATATTTTAATCTTCATTCTTTATTACTACTCCACCGCTACCGGGTGATTAGGACGAAAAAGCGGTACAAAAATGTTATTTCTTGGAGGAAGAATGAAAGAGCATAAGGTCAACGTTTCAAGTCAAACGTAAGTTATTTACTCTTGATGGCTCGGACTACCCTGACTTGATTTATCAGCGGTAAATTATAATTTTCGACTATTTTATTTGTTTAATTTAATTTTTGTTTTAATCACTCAATTGTGGGAAAAAAAATGTAACTTTTAAATATAGAGCTATTTCTCTAGAGCTCTAAGAAAGGGTGAAAATATTTATTATTGTATATATACAACAAATGTGACAGAAGGACAAAGAGGGAGTGGGGAGGCTGGTCTTCGCTATCTGAGTTAATCCCGATTACGACCCATTCTTCCAATACAATTGATTCATTTATCACAAGAATTCACCCATCACCATTCAATCCTACATATACCACAACTCTAAGAAAGCATGAAAGATAATATCGCTCTATATATCTACGCGTATTTGAAAATGATTAGAGAAAAATATTTACAAATGAAAGCAATGGTAATATTAACCATTTCCGAATAAGAAAACATTGGGCATTTAGTGACTGAAAAGCTAAATACCGGGTTCGGATGAAATTTATAAAATCATCTATATTTTTGAGATGAAGGTATTATGTACACTATTTACATTATTCGGACTATTGTCCTCATCTTTGTCGCCATATTTATCACAACGCTTCGGCCGTTATACGCTCCGGCCTTCTTCACGTGGTTTGAATGTCGAAATTAACCCTTTATTTCGCTCACTGGGGTAGACTGTTCTAGTTCCACGTGCCATGTCTAATGGATGTTAGTTATAAGTTATCTCCTGTTAATTCCCCTCTCTAAGTTCTCCACCGCCTTAACCAGGTATTGAACTCACTCTCTTTGGGTTCTGTCACTGGATCTAACTAACGGCACAGTGCTTGTTTTGTGTTACGGCATATCAACCAAAATGTGTTATATAACTAACGCCTTTATCCATTAGACACGGCACATTGGAACTAGAACAATCTACACCAGTGAGCGAAATAAAGGGTTCAGTTCGAAATACCAACCACCTGAAGAAGGCCAGAGCGTACAACGACCGAAACGTTGTAATAAATATGGCGACAAATGTAAGGATAATAGTTCGAATAATGTAAATAGTGTTTATAAAATCGCTCACTTATTTTTTTCAGGAAAATATGTTTTTCACGTTCAATATCCGTTCTCCCTCTTTCTTGGAATTGATCAAGCTTTCTTTACTAAACTTTTATTTCAAATACTCTAGAATATCAACGTTCTGACCATGTCATTATTTTCTCTTCGAGGTAATGTTCTATGCTTTTTAGTTGTTGCTGCATTTCGTCGTCTTCAAGTAATGTTTTCTTCTGTTATTTGCTACACTTCTTTGTTTATGATTCTATATCCCCGGTCCGCGACGTTCACAGTAGAAATGGTATTTGGGAAAACATTCAGCTTTCAAAGCCATTTTAAAACCTCGACCTTAGAAAGCGGTTGTATACAACGGGTATGGCACCATACATTCCTATGAATGTCTAAGATATGGTAGTCTAAGAACATGTCTCGATATTTTAGGTTGATGATTTGTGTTTGTAGCAATTTGCGCTGTGACGTAAACCTCACTCGGGTGTAAGCTACGCTGTGTTCAATTTTCTTTTCTCTTATATTGCATATGTTACAACTGATCCATATGCTGAGGTATTAGAAGTGTTTAGTATTTACTAATTCCCTATCCTGAATTCTTATGATGGATTAAAGGTATTGCCATCACTACTTTCAATCCTATTCAAAATCATAGTTTCTGTTTTGGAAATATTTTTTCTTTCGTCCTATTACTTAAAACAATTTGACCAGGAAAGCACTTGAATGAAATTAAATCGGAAAAAAAAAACTGATAAAACAACGGATACCTGAACATTATCGCCAGTGTGATAAACTGTATCATTCCTTGATTTGACTAAAGAACTTAAGCTAGTTTTTTTTTTTTTCTGTGGGCTAGATAAATCATGCCCATGTAATAAAACTTAATTCGTAGTTGGAAATTAATATTAGTTCAAAACCCAGTGATCTATCTTCTCAGGTAGAATTTGTTCTTTGGAAAAAAATCAGTATTACTTTTTTTTCTAGATGAATTCTAATTTTTATTATATATTTGTTTTTAGATTTCTAAACCTGCTAGATCAGTCCCCACTTTGTATTTGGCGACGCTGGTACATGTTTTTCTTGTTTCTCATTAGGTAAAATAGAGATGGCAAATTTCATCAGAATATTGCTAATACGCTGTAATTAGTTTTCTCTTTGATATTTTTCAATACTTTCTACGGCTTATCAACCGCTTTGTAGGTTATTTAAAAATTGAAAATATTTTCACATTGTAAGAATTGGTTTTTGGCATATAAAAATTGTTTTATGTTGGAAGTCTTGCTATTTAACCTATAGCTGAGGGTAAGAAGATGTGGATTTATACTGTTTCCAACGGTGTTTGCGCGTAAATGAATATAGCGAAGCCAACCAGAATTGTTAATCGGCACTCTAATTTAAAATTCCGAGCATTTGTCCATTACACGACTTGCAAAACCAAGATAACAACACCTGGTATTCCCAAAGGGTCACCCATTTAGGTACTGACAAGGTCCGACGTTGCTTCACTTCGGCGATTGTACGGGAAACGGTGTTTTAACGTGATATATTCATAAATCTTACCACTCGCATATCCAAGCTTACTGCCCCTGGTATTACCAAGTGGTAACCCATAATAGCACGACGTTGCTTAACTTCGTTGATTGTACGGGAACCAATGTGAAATATCGTCTAAGAAAAAGAGGGCTTTGTGAATAACATATCTATGATTTTGATAATTTTGGTCAAGGATTTCACTGACTAGCGTTATCAAAGTAACAGCCAAGAGACATCTTTTTCAATCCACAAAAACTCCATTTAGGTAAGTACATTATTTTAAAGTAAGTTAGTTTGAAAGAAAGCCATAGGAGAGTGTTTAATTAGTGAAAGGAATTAAGTAGACAAACAAAATTCCCAATGTAACACTGACAAAGTATTTTACATATTCACTTACACACTCACTTTAAACAATGCCAGAATAATTTACCACCGATTGAGGATCGCTACATTGGGAAATAAAACTTTAAGAAGAGCTTTATTTAAGGTTTTAGCACATAGATAATTCTATCCTGTATAAATTAAATTTCCAATTCTCCCTTTTACAATTGATATATCCTGCGTGTGCCAACTTTCTCAAGCTTTCGTTCTTCTTTCGCTTTCTGATTCGAAGTTTGAGTTTAATTTTATTTTTTGAATAAATTCCTCATTACTCACATGTTTAGTCCATGAGACTTTCAACATCCTTCTGAAAATCACATTTCTATCGCCTCAAGTACCTTTATCTTTCAGCAGATTATCTAGTATTCATTGCTATATAGGAGAACTGATATTACATAGCATCAGATCTTTTTTGTTTATAACAAACTTTTCCTTTTTCTCACACACACACACACATATATATATATATATATATATATATAATAGGAAAGAACTCGTTAGGTAAATAATCCAAAGTTCTTTAGTATTTTTTTATTATTTAAAAAAAAACAGTGCTCGTTGCAAAAATAGAGCTTAAATATGATTATTTATTTAAAAGAAGGAATCATATTTTTAAATAAATAATTTATATATATATATATATGTGTGTGTGTGTGTGTGTGTGTGTGTGTGTGTTTGTGTGTGTTTGTGTGTGTATGTATGTATAATAACTAAAGAGCAAGAATCTATCTACCTATGTTTTACCAGCCATATCATCAAGATAATTCTGACTAAAGAGGGTTGGCCCAAACGACATTTTATTGAGAAAACGGCCACCAGAATGCATAAAAATTAGCATTAAAAACAAACCCACATTCTAATTGCTAAGTAACCGGGTATTTCTTATGCCTACAACTATTAACTATTTCAGATCACTGGTTGAGTTTTTCATTAGGGTTATTGTTAGAAGCTATAGCTTATTTTTCCTCCATACATAAGAGGCAATATCTATCACAACCTTATATAAATGGCATTTTTTTTTTAGTATCTCCCATTTACCCGTCAGATTCATAGTATATATATATATATATATATATATATATATATATATATATATATATATCCAGACAATATGATAATGCCATCAAGACCCAAGGGTTATTGAGAGACAAAGGAAATGTGAAAACCTTAGTGAATGGAAAGGACAATAAAAAGAAAGGGTTCAGGTAGACAGAAGATTATGGTGGAGGGCATGCAAGAAATCCGGAGAGTTCCACAGGCGAGAAGTGTGGGAATAGAAACTATTAGAGCATACAGTTACCTCTAGTTACTTTAACAGGGCATCGACGAGATTTCGTTCCCAATTTACAGTAAAACTTTTGCAGTAACGGTTAGAAGAAGGAATGTTCATTAAAACAATTGTCATGAAAATGTTTATAGCAAAGACAGAAGTAAGCCACGTTGCAGCAATGTGAAATTAACTGAAGCCAAAATGCCTGGTCAGAACTACTAACTTTATATCTTTTTCTTTGATTTTTTTTTTTTAAAATGTCGAGATATATTGCCGGGACACGAAACCAGATATAGCATATTCAATGCACGTGCGAATGGGAGATTTATAAACGTGCAAGATTGTTTCTGGTGAGAATAATATTACACCGCTGAAAGTGAAATGAACGAATAACATTTTAAAATAAAATCCATGCAGCAAATCTGAGTTTCCCGACCTGTGCACTCACCCAATCTTTTCTGTCTGCGAAGCACACAACTCTATATTTCCTCTAACACTAGTCTAGCTCTTCTTTTTCGTTACTTCTTATCTCTTTTTTCTTTTAATTCTATTCTTCATTCGTTCATACAGTCGTTCTTTCTTCATCGTATGATTAGCATTTTAAGAAGCCCCAGAGATAAGAGACAAGGACAGAAATCCTGGCCGTCTCACTTTTCTGGCTTGCAAATGGCGTTCTAACTTGCAACGACCTCCGTGTGTGTCTGTTATTGGTATTGATTTTTTTCCGGTTTTCGGCTTGGGGGGCTTTCACAACCTCGACCGAGTAAATAATTGTCTACTCGAATATATAAAGATAAACATAGATCATTGCTTGCCCAACGCACGGTAGATGTGTATTCAGAATGGTGATAAAAGTTGTTCCTTATTTTTCTTTCCGTTCTTTTTTTTTTCAGAACGTTTAATAAAAGTCCGTTAGTGTCTTTTGCTTCTCTTAGACTATATAGTCTTCATATCTACACAAGTCAGCTCTATATTCAACTTTCTTGAAACTAGCCATTTTTTTTGTTTGAACTTTGGCCTACCGTTTTTATTTGTCGTATTGTAAACGTTATATTGGACTAGACAAATACGTTTCCTATCGACAGAGGAGAGCAAGTTGTAATAAAAGTATTATTGCCTCCTTGAAATTTCCGTGTAATCAACTTTTTTCAGAAATACATCTATTTTCTTTTTAGTTTCTTTTCTTCATTATACTAAGTCCACTTGAATGTCCTAATCTGGGCGTATTTACATAGAACTGATAAGGAGATGAACATTTGAATAATATTATGATTCTGCTTGTACAGTTGTTCCCAAGTTAATATTGGGAAAATAATCAATCCCACTATTCTCCCTCCAGCTATGGAGTAAATAGCAAAGTAAATAGCAACCCGTGTAGGAAACAGAAATCTGATTTCAAGCGCAACCTAAATGTCACTTAGTACATATCTCGAGATCTCCTCAGTATAGAGTGCTGAGTAAATAGTTATTTGGATTTTACATGTATTACTTTTCTTGACCCTAACAGCGAACAGTGTATCATGTAATTTGTAAACCGTTTAATAGTATAAGCAAAGGTTAGTAAATAACAAATATAGACAATAAATACTGATATATATATATATATATATATATATATATATATATATATATATATATATATATATATATATATATATATATTGTATTATATATGGCGTTAGAAACTGCAACTTATACGAAATCGTTTAGGTTTCGGTCCCGGCTTGAAGCGATCGAATGGCTAGCCACATTGAGAAGCTGTCTGTGGGTGACTCTCTCTCTCTATATATATATGTATGTATGTATGTAATTTTCTTTAAAAACGACCGACACGCCCACGTCGATAGCACGATTCGGAGTTTCATGCATGCAATTTTTCATGTACAAAATACTCACTGACCGTTAAGCATTATGAAATTCGCATCTTCGTGGTGTTGATTTAAAATTCTCTGTTAAGACTTGTTTATTTTATTATTATTGTCTATAGTATTAGAATTAATTATTTAAAATTTATATCGTTCAAATTCTTAATTTCGAAAAACGACAAAAATTAATTTAAATAATTAGAAAAAAAAGAATTCGCGTAATTCACGTAACACGCTATATATCAAGGGAGATAATTCCCTCTTTTACATAAAAATAGATTATTTAAATTATTAGAATATTTAAATCATTTTCGATGAAGTGCAAATCCATGAAAGGATTAATTTGGAAGGCCATAGAGTGAAAAACCACCGGTGCTATTCTATCGTTAATTAAAATTATGTCTTAAAGTAACTGAAAAAAGAAACACTCACACACATTTAATTAATGCTAAACTACTGATAAATAAATGTATCTATGTTCGATTTTGTGAAAAGGTGAGTTTTTTTTTCAGATAAAACACCTGCTCTGAGTGATATCAAAAGAATAGGAAATTAGCCTCTTGTAAGCTGAGCTGAAAGAAACTTCTCAATTTAATATGAATATTAAATAACGAAAACGCTTATCCACATTCCGCTATAAATGTCAGTGTCTCTTTTTTGCTGGCATCAGATTTTAATTTTAATGTCACTTCACTTCCGAACATCGGTGACCAAGCCTCTACTCATATCTTTTGAGATATTAAATAAATATCTCAAAATTTCCAAGTATTCTTGGGAAAAAAAATGGCGTGGTTTCCCGTTACCGTTTTCACAGTTTGTACTTCCGACTTTCCTTTCTCTATATATGGTGGCTAATCAAATTTTGGATGCTCAATCTTCACTGCTACTTAACCCATAGGTGTTGTTTATTGTAATATTATTATATTAAAATTTAAGGAAATGTTAAAATTTCAAACAATAAAACTGGTTAAAGACTTTCTTCAAAATGAATTGAGAAAAATGTTACTTTCATTCAAATATTGTTCAGATAAATCATAAAGATCATGGCGATATTTAAAGACGGGTATATTGAAACAAGAAGTTTGTATTGGTTAAATCTATCTACAAGTATTCTGTATTCAAAGAGGAACGTAAAGTGAAATTCATAATTTTACTCCCGTTGCATTTACTTGGCTTGTATGTAGACACGAACAGATGCATAGAAAGTACATTAATGTCATAAAGTGCACAAATGTCGGCAGAAAATGCGTTTTGACACAATATTACCGAAACCCACCCAAAACTACTGACATTTGCATTTGTGCGCATGTGTGCAAGTTGCCAGGAAAGAACGGAATATGACGAGAAGGAGAGGAAAACGAAGATAGTTGTTTGGAGAAACTAAAAGAGGATCAGAAAACAAAAGAGTCCGAGCGTAAGAAGTGAAAACTATGCAGGAAAATTAGATAGATAGATAGATAGATAGATAGATAGATAGATAGATAGATAG